GCACCATGTGCATCCTGCATGTGGTGGCTGCTCCAAGCGATTCTTACTTGTCACCCAACTCTTATCTGAGGCTTTCCAAAGCCGGGCGCCGCCTAGCGGCATGACCTTGGTTACCGCATCGACCCTCAGGCTAAGCCAGGTGAGGGTACCTGATGTTATGTGGGACCTTACACCCGGTAATTACATCTCCTTCCCCTTCCACATTCAAAACGTCCCACGGAGAGGACGACACACAATACCGTGGGCCATCCAGGCCAACTCTGGTCGCTCCTCTCCTAAAATATGCCGTCACCCATAGTGAAGTTCGGTAGTCTTCTGGAGTGTCTCTTCAACATTTTCTAGTGACATTACTGTTTAACCCCACGAGGAGGAAGGTACTGGACAAGGTGATGTGGTCAAGTCATGTGCACGTTGCAGTGGCCCTCGGATGCACAACTCACGACTGAGATTAACAACAACCGTCCCCCATCCTCCCGACCTACCGCACAGGGTACTTAAGCTATTCCGGGCAGCCGAGAATGTTCGTTCTCCTTTAGACCTGAAAGGAGAACAATGCCAGTCGCTCGACAGTTGCGGACGTCGGATACTGAATCTCAAGGCCAGATACTAATTGTATATTTTCAACCTGCATATGGAAATGGTCAGTTCATCCTCCTCCCGCTAGTTAAAGATAATTGGGAGCAACGTCTACAGTAGGTGGGCTAACTCATGAAATGCCAACCGAAATTCCGAAATGCGTTTTCGTTTCATAAAGATTATTTAAGTGGAGTTGTAAAAACAATCATCGTGCAGCATAATTCTACAATAATTCAGTTATTCTAGAAGGCCGGCTTTCGAACAAAAAACCTCCTCCCGGCTGCATGCTCCGTAAAAAAATGACTACTCAAGCAGCATGCACTTTTTTCATTGATTTTCGATGCCCTTCAAGAATGAATTATATTTCAGGGAAAATATGCATGAAAATATCAATTTTTTGCTCATTCAGTAGCAAATTACGTCTTTTTTCAACTTTAGCACTCGAAGGAAGGGTATAGTTCGGTTTAAAAAGGTTTCTAATTTTGACATTTTTTAATACAATAAAATGGCCCTTCATAAAACATCATGTCTCTGCATTTACCAATGTGGCTTGCAGAGGTAACAGTGTGGTTCAAATCCACTGCTTAATATAATAAACCCCATATAGTCTCCTCCTAATACGTTAGAGAAGTTTATGGTTTTCCGTACGCGGAAATTATACGGTTTGTAGTTTGGGAACCCTGAATGCAAGTGTAACGACAGGTTGGGTTCAAAATTATTCGGGAATTGGAAAAGTTTTATAAAACCAAATTATACCCTTCCTTCGATTGTAAAATTGAAATAAGACGTACGTTCCTACGAAATGAGCAAAAGAATGAATATTTAGTGAAAATCTGATTCCCAGGTGGCATATCAAAAGAAGAGGGGATGGGGGGGGGGTGCGATTGTGGGCCGGGCCAGCGATCACACAGCAAGGCAAGTGCAAGAAGCCTGGATGTCCACCGACCGCTCTGTCAACCGCCACATCAATTTGCCTCCCCCCTATCTGACTTTACGAACCTTCTTAACGGGGGACAGTCACGCGCGGGACAATCGGGGCCGTCAGTCATCACCGCGGCCGACGGGGGCGATTCACGCCACGGTGACATGCGGGTTAGATGCAGCCACACAGGCGGCATTGGCGGATCACGCATTGGACAAAGGGCGCCATAATAAGGAGTGCTGTGCACAAGACCTCCAAGTGCCTGAAGATGGGTAGACGGATAAACTACCCGAAACGTCGGATCTCAAATAAACCCCTCCCGGTGAACGCCCCCTCTTCTTTTGAAATGAATATTTATATGCACGTTTTCCGTGAAATAAAATTGAATTTTTAGGGCACCGAAAATAAGTAAAAAATGAATGTTACATAAGTAGTCATTTTTTACGGAGTACACTTTTTGGATGCAGCCGGCAGGAAGTTTGTCCGAAAGCCGGCGCCCTGGGGTAACTGAATTATTATAGAATTATGCTGCACGATGATTGTTTTTACAATCCTACTTAATCAATCCTTTCGAAACGAAAACGCATTTCGAAATTTCTGTTGAGATTTCATGAGTTAGCCCCCTTACTGAAAGTAGAAATTATCTTTTCCTGAGGGAACTATGGACGATTAACTGGCTCGAGTGTTCCAACACAAACCCCACCTGTTTCCTTCTGTGTCCTGATAAGGGTAGATGAGTGCGGCTGGTTTTCATGCAACTCACCGCACTTCCGACCATCACTCACAAGGTGTGGTCCCAGCAGCTATGCGGCACGAACGTCCGATGTTAGTTTTCAATGGTCTTCTGAACCCCAATCCAAGTTTAGTATACATCAGCACCAAGCGCTCCGGTAATGTGGGTTTATGACGGCAAATAAAACAATAAGTGTTCATAAGCTCATCTATTCTCCTTATCAGTTGTACATTTTCATTGAGAGGGGGAGTAGTTCTCGTGGATGTTATGTAATCGACAGATCTTCCGTTTGACACATATGTAATTGCCGAAAATGGTTACGCCTAGCTGGTAATGCCGCTCCGGACTATAACTTGACCCAATTGTGATTAAGCTCGCTTCGTCAGGCGGGGTCTCGTAGCTCAGCTGGTTACAGCGTTCGTTGTATTAAAGCCCTCTCCTCACTCTCGTGGGTTCGAAATAAACCGGAGGGGCCGAGTTTTTCACAGTTGGGTCAATGTGAATTATTCAAAATCTACCAAAACATCTAAGAATCATTTTTTGCCGAGAGTTGCATGAGCTTTGACTCATAGCAGCATCGAAATACTATGTGAAGGGGTGCTACCTCAGGAAATGCCAATCGAAGCTTTATAATGTTCTTTCGATTCGGGGGAATCACTTAAATAGGACAGTCATATAAATCGCCGAACAGCTTAGTCCTAAGATATTTTGTTTGAAGAAGAAGAAGAAGAAGAAGATGGGCTCACCGGACCGGTTTTTTTTAGATGTTGACGTTTCGAAGAGCATGGTCGGCTCGCTATTCTCAAAA